GAAAACTGGAAAAAAAGGATTTTTTTGGGAGAACACATCCAGAAAACCAAAAGAGATTTTGTACCAGCCAACAAACCGAAAGTTGAGAAAAAAAATCACGATTCATTTCAAGACAATACACAGGAAAACTTTAGGAACTCACCTTTTTCAATCCTCACATCTGCAGAAGAATCACAGAAATTTCTCAAACTTCATCTTCCAAATTTTCCTCTCCACTGACTAAATTGAATCCTCATTGTTTCTCTAATTCGTCAGCTTCATCTTCATTCGCATCTTCTATTGCAATAGAGCTGCTTCTTCAACACATCATCAACAATATCATAATTCACAATCCACGGTAACAATGAAAATACAGTGAAAACAAAATCAAAAGGAGGAGCAAGATCAGTTTGATTTACCTTCACGAAACGTCTGAAGAACGTCATCGGAGCGACTCCGACAGGAAATTTTTTTCTTCCTTCATCGTTTATACTTTGCCTATTACATCGATACATCTTGCTTTGAGATTACGGTGATCGCATCTGTGTCGAAACTGCAAGCTGAACTGAGACGAACAGAGAGCAGATGTTATGACGGTGATGGTATCGCAGTAGTTTGAGCATTGTTGAAGCTGAATCCACGAAGCTACGAAGCTGAGAGTTGGACGAAGATGATTGAAAGAGATGACAAAAGAAGCGTGAGAGAGAGAGGAATAGGATGAGACCAAAGTTTCAGTTTGAGAGGATTGTGTACTTTTTCTCTTTCTAATGAATTAATGTTGGGACTTCCCCCCTCCCAAGGTTTAACACCGGCTGCCTCCAACATAATTAGGGTTTGCGTTGATCCCTTCAATGTCTCTCATGGGCCTAACCTGAACCAAGGATTTTTTTAAGCCCAATTTGCTCTTTTATTTTACTTGACATTATTCTTAAGTCGCAATAATATCAAATAGATGCGCATAGAACAATGGTGGAAGTCTTGAACATGCAACTAGTGGTCCTGGGTTCAATACCTAGGAAGACCATTTTTTTCTTTATCTTTTAAGTTCTTATTGTTTGTCTTGTTCTAATTTTATCTTTATTAACCATTAACAAAATTATTTAGAGTTAAGATTTTAATTTCCTTTTGTTTCTTAATTTATTTCATCACAAAAAACACAACAAATATTTTGAATTTAATTTCTTTATTATTATTTTTTGATAGCTTTGTTAATTTTATTAGCATGTTTCCTTAGGTAGTTCCAAGAGACGATTAAAATATTTTTTTATTGTTTTGTGTCGAAAAAGACTTTTAGCTCACTTGTACATAACAAACAATTAAGACGTTTCTTAGTCTCCCTCTTAACCTTTTTATTTTATAATTAAAACTTCATTCACAAATCAAAAATCCAAAAACACCTTCTAATAATTACTTAAATTAATTTTAAAACTCTCAAAAACACTCCACCAATCCAAACTCCCCAAAAGGGCATGTTATCTCTGTCTACCGCGACATCGGCCGTGCCTATTGCTAGAATGCGTGCGTTAACGTCGCCCACTAAAAAACACAAACAAACCCACCATTTTCTAGACGAACTACGGTGTTATGATTCCTTCGTTGGATACGTAGGAAAAGGGTCGCGAAACCCTCACGAACGCATTAATAATAAAAAAACCTTCATTTTCCCTTAAGCAAGTATAGTTGTAGATAAATACACCCTTTAAGACAAACAAACAAAATGGATCCCGTTGAGTACAACGGATATGAGGGGTGCTAATACCTTCCCCTTGCATAACCGACTCCCTTACCCTTTCTCTTGGTCGCAAGACCATCTTATCCATTCCCTTGTAGTTTTATCGATATTTCCCCTTCCTTCGGGATAAATAAAGTTCGGTGGCGGCTCTGTGTTTTCTGCCGTTAGCTTCAGTTATGCATCAATCCATCAACTAACAACACATTATTAATAGAAGGAAGGTTACCATTACCTACTGTTCTAGAGCCAATTATCTTCCCTCTTTGGTTTCCTCCAAAACCCACGTAGCCTTCAGGTTTAAGTTCCAGGCTTTGGAACATATGCTTTCTTCCCTTCATGTGTCGAGAGCATCCAGAGTCCAGGTACCATGACTGGTGTTTTAGCCTTGCTGCTAAAGATATCTGCTACATATAGAATTTTGTCCTTAGGTACCCATACCTTTTTGGGTCCTAGTTTGTTAGGTTTACCAAAATTCTGTTTGAATTTTGGTTTGGCAGAATAATCATTGCTAGTTTATTTTAGATCATGTGTGTGCCCATAGGTGAAGTGAGATTTTAGTGGTGTGCGTTTAATTACTAGGTCCATGACTTTCTTAGGTGGAGATACCTTACCTTGGTATCCTATTCCTTTTCTTCCATTTCTGCTAACTCCATAGATCATTGAAGCCATCTTGCTTCTATCTATGTTTTTAGTCAGAAACTTCTGAAAGTTGTGATCATATTCTTTTATGATTTTATCAGCACTACTGGGAGCCTCTGATATTATTTCTTTTTGAGAGTTTTGTAAATCATTTTATAGTTTTGAAATCTTTTCTTTTAACTCAAAATTTTCTAATCTAAGACTCTCAGTTTCTTCAGAGTCAGAAGCAAGATCCTTTTTCAGGTTCTTGAATTTGACTCTGAGCTGCTGATACCTTTCCAGGATTTCACTCAGACTTTCTCCTAGTTCAACTTTTGTAAAATTAACAGTGAAGTTAGGAAATACCTCTTATGTGTCTGATTCTGAGTCTGACCCAGATGCTTCGTTGTCTTCTATCACGTTTGCTATAAGACAATGTTGGCTCTTTCATCATCTGATTCTAAGTTTGCGTCAGAAGTATCTGAATCATCCCATGTTGCCATGAGACTTTTCTTCTTCTCCTTGAAGAACTTCTTTTTGGGCTTCTCCTTCTGAAGCCTTGGACAATCACTTCTGTAGTGTCCATGTTCATTGCACTCATAGTAGATGATGTCTCTGTTGTTTGACTTTTTGTGACCAGACGAAGCTTTAGACCTTCTGTGTCTAGAGGAAGGCTCATACTTTTTGTATCCGGAGGAGGATTCATTATGATTCCTTGATCTTCTGGAGTTTCTGAATTTTCTTTTCCTTTGCTTCCTTAGTTGATTGACCCTTCTAGAGAGAAGAGACAATTCGTCTTCTTCTGATGAGGATCCATCAGAGGTTTCTTTCATAGCCTGCAAAACCTTAGAATCAAGTTTTTTGTTAGATTTTAATGCTAAAGGCTTACCTTGATTCTGAGGCTCGTCATCTTCTAGTTCTATCTCATGGCTTCTTAGGGAGCTAACAAGTTCCTCCAGAGATATCTTGTTGAGATCTTTAGTCAACTTAAGAGCAGTGACCATTGGCCTCCATTGCTTTGGTAAACTTCTGATGATCTTCTTTACGTGATCAGCAGTAGAATACCCTTTGTCAAGAACTCTCATCCCAGCAACTAGAATCTGGAATCTTGAAAACATAGCTTTTATGGATTCACTATCTTCTATCTTGAAAGCTTCGCATTTCTGAATGAGCACAAGGGCCTTGGTTTCTTTAACTTGTATGTTGCCTTCATGCATCATTCTCAGAGAGTCAAACATGTTTTTGGCTATCTCTCTGTTTGAGATCTTCTCATACTCTGAGTATGAGATGGCACTAAGAAGAATTGTTCTGGCCTTATGATGGTTTCTGAAATCACGCTTTTTTTAGTCAGACGTTCTTTTTCTATCTATCTTTTGATCACTTTCATCCACTGGATGCATGTATCCATCAATGACCATATCCTATAAGTCAACATCATGAGCCAGAAAGAAGCTCTCAATTATGTCTTTCCAGTAGTCAAAATTTTCTCCATCAAAGACTGGAGGTTTACCGCTGATTCTGTCCTTGTCATCGTGATAGTCATTACTGATGTTTTGGCTTGGTCCCACCATAGTGTTTTTCTAAAGCTTGGATCTTGTACTGACACGGTTAAGTGTATGAATTCAGAACCAGGTGCTCTGATGCCAATTAAAGAAGTGAAAAACACAAGAAGGGGGGGGGGATAATTGAAACTTTAGAAATCAAAACAATAGACACGAGATTTTTATCCTGGTTCGCTTGATATCAAACTACTCCAGTCCATGCGCCAAGGTGATTTTGCCTCTCTCCAATGAGGACTTAATTCACTAATTAAACTGATTACAATTCTAATTTGACAACTGCCAAAGTCTTCTTAAGTACAACCACAAACCGGTTTATCTCAAGGAAGATAACTTAATCAAAAGAAAAGGTTTACTGTGTACTGTTTGTTTTTCGTTACAAAAACTGTATCACTATTGTGATGTATTACACAAATTGAATGTAGAATGAATATGAATTTTTGCAGCCTTTTTGAGATTGTATGGAGCAGTCGTGTGAAATCGTAAACGATTTACCCTTTGAACTTGTTTATATAGGCGTGACAAATCTGTCCAAATGGAAACATGATAATGCTCATTTAATGCACTTTCCATACTGAGAAGATCCTTGTCTGAATGAAGTCGTTGCACATGATACTGCCTTAATTGAAAAGTAACACTTCAGAACTTAGGAATCTTGCATGCTGCTTTACTTCAGAACTTCGGAAGACAGAAATGAAGATTCAGTTAGCTTGTTGGACTTCCATTCAGAATCATGATATCTTTCTCTTTAGCACAGATTCTGATCATCATACTTCAGAATATTTTGATTACTCAGCTTGAATGCCTTTGTGGCTTAACTTCTGATGTCATTTCAGTCAGAACATCTGTATAACATAAACACAAATTTAGAGTGCATATAAATTCTTTGTGTTTGTTATCATCAACACTCTTATGAGGGTTGTAGAATCAAACTATGTTCTAACAGCCTATTGTTCCTACCTGAGAGAAACCCTCCTAACGAACAATAATAAACATGAATGATTCCCTCACACTAATCAGCCATAATAGAACCACATCTCCCTCTGTTCTGCACCAACTTCACTTTTCCTACCTCCGCAGCAAAGCAATACCATTCACCATCTTCGCCTAGCTCACATCATTCCTAATCCACAAACCTGCCTTCTCACATTCACCTGCAAATAATACAAAAAGAAAACATATTTGAAATTATAGAAATCACGCCTGTCTCCGCCAAATTTCCTCCACTCGCTCTCATCACTATTTTCACCACACCATCAATCTTCTTCCTCCTTGAGCATCAAATACACCCTCCGCTGTTCTCAGTATCACAACCAGAACCTCACTCTGGTACCCACTATTCCATCTCATGCATACCCCTCAGTAAACACTCAAACCGTGACAATCTTCTTCGTCCAACTTTCGTTCAACTACCTCATCAACCCAGCTTACTCTCCAACCTTCGAATATCTCCATATTCTTCAAACAACACCAGCTTCCATCTCACTGTCGTCGCAGATCTCAGTTCTTTCTCTGCCTCTCTCTCCATCAGCAAACCGCTTCAACGCTCAACAACAAACTTCCACTGTAAACCAACTTCGCTCCGATTCTCCTTTTGCACAATAATCAAACCCTTTTCTTCTGTGTGTGTTTTTCCCTCTGTCACAATCAACCGCAACAATGTCAAACAAAGAAATGACCGTCGAAAGAGGCGTTGATCTGAAGCATTACCAGGGTCGCTGGTATGAAGTAGCTTGTTTTTCCGTCTAGGTTCCAGTCAAGTGATGGAACGAACACAAGAGCAACTTACACTCTTAGAATATATGGAATTGTTGGTGTCTTGAATGAGACTTGGAGTGGTAGAATAAGAATGGTACTACGGATGAGAGAGGAGAAGATTGCCTTTTGGGTTTCAACTTTTTTCTTTTTAATTGTTTTTTTTAAATTAACAACAATAATAATAATAATGTTCTGTTTGTTTCTCATCCCAACGATACAACTGTAGCAGACTCTTTGTCTCTAGGGTTTAAAAACCCTTCTTTGTTAATTCCAAACGGGTCGGCCCATTGGGTCTGTTGGTCCAATATCACTATTAATGTTCACCTTATATTTTAATTAAGTCGTATATATAACAGATAGAAAACAAAGCTTAGTTGGCAAAGCATACCATTGATAACCCAGGGAGTCCCGAGTTCAACCCCTACTTGGGCATTTTATTCCATTTTTTCTTGTTTCTTTCAGCCTTTTTTCCAAATTTTACTAAATATACTTGATTACCAAATATGAACTTAGTTTATTATATATATATATATATATATATATATATATATAATTAAATAATTATTTCTCGCCATTATAAAATACAAAAACATGTTATAAATTAATTTCTCATTTAATTTTTGTTATTTATTCAAGTACATGCTGTTGTACCCCAAAATTTTCCCTCCCATATTCTTCAAGATTTGTCAAGAATGATCCTCAAATTGTTCAAGATTGTTCAAGAGGTAGACAGTCAAACCATCTCCTAAGCCAGCTGAAATTAGGGTTTTGGTTCTTTCAAGGAATTTGAGGTTTTCAATGGTTCAATCAAGTCTCATAGGCCTATATACATCCTCAAGCACCTACATGCCAAGTTTCAAGACTCACAATGCCAATTTGCATAGTCAAAAGCTCCAATTGATCCACAGTCAACTGCAGGGGCAAAATGGTCATTTTATAGTCAAAAGTCAAAAAATTTGGTCAACATCTTATTTTGAGTTCACAATCATCATTTGATCAAGTCTTGATCATGATTCCACAAGGATAGCTCAAAAATCATCAAGATGCAAAAAGTTACTATTTTTGGACAGTAGAAAAGTCAACTGTATCTTGACCAGGGCATAACTTTTTCTTGATTCAGCAGAAAAATCCCATCCCATGCTCATTTTTAAGAGAATGCAATCTCCTACAGTCCATCTTCACACTCCAAGTCCAAGAAATTCTCTCACAAGAAGTTATCAATTTCTACATTATAGGTCAATTTCAAAAGTCAACAAAAATGCACTTTAAGTCAAAGACCATAACTTGAGATTGGTAAATCCAAATGACATGGGACCAAAGGCATTGGTTAGAGAACTTCAAGACCTTTCCAAAATGTCTAAGAACATGTTCATATGATCAAAATTGAGCAAGATATGCATTGGAGAAGTTGGGAAATTTTTATGAATTTGCAAAAGTCAACTTTGCTCAAAACACCTTATTTTTGCTAATGGGCCTCAAATCTCTTCTTGAAACTTTATCCATGGCCTATTCACGACCCATCAAGATTATTTGAATTTATTTTCTTATTTTTATTAATTAATTGGATTTTTAATTGATATTAATTCATTTAATCAATTTAAATTTTAGGATAATAGAAAGATTTGATTTTTCAATCTTTTTGTGAAGCAAATATTGTCAAGATATGCTGGAAATTTCATGTACAATTCAAATATGCAAAAATCTCCAAAATTGGCAACTTTCTTTAATCATGAAAATGCAAAAATATTTGATTTTCAATCAAATATTCAATCATCATTCCAATGGATTTTTGTGCAAGATTCTGACCTAATTCCATTCCTCTATAAATATGCAAGCTAACCCTAATGCCATACACGTGAGAAAGCTGCAGAGAAAGCCATAGCATATTGGAAAAATTTCAAGAAAATTGCAAAACTGATTTCTATATTCTAGGGCGATTCAAAGCTTTTTGTTGATTCTAACATCTTGCAGGAGTTCCCAGGAGTGTGTGGAAATCAAATTCAAGCCTTGAAGCTCAAAAAATCGTCCTAAATAGAACCACAGTTTGCCATTTATTTTCAGAATCGTGCAGCTCAATTCATGCATATTTAACGTGCTTTTGTGTTTGTTTTGCATTGCTAGAACTCATATGAAGCTGATGGTATGACTGAATTGGATTAAAACGTCATAAATCAAAAGTTGCCATGGTTGAATTTTAGGGTTCATGAACTTTGAATTTGGGGATTCCTAGACCAAGAAAAATTGAGACCACTAAGGCACATGGTTGGAACCGTTGGGACCAGACGAATTCAAATCAACCCTCGCGAAACATTTATATAAAACACAGCCCTAATCGCTATTTTTCGTCACCATGTTTAGTGGGGGTTAAAAACCCCCGCTATCTAACGTTATATTTACAGGTACCAGCGAAGAAGACGAGGACGTGTTAAGGTCCCATTGGCTAGTTTAAAAAAGCGCGCGTGATTTTGTTGTTTTACAGCATAATAGTTGCTTTTATATATAATACTCATTATCCACTCTTATTACAAATGCGCGTTCTAGTTCAATTGGCAAAGGCGTGGGAGCATTAACCATTGGGACCTGGGTTCGAATCCCAGGTCCCCCAAAACGCTTCTATTATTTTTCTTTACATGTTCATATGCAGCTTTCCAAAAGGAGTCCATCATGCACCTCTAACATCCAAGCGCCATGTGTCTCTAAGCTCAAATCCTGTGGCCAAAGATGAAGGACCATCATACTCCCAGTCAATGCACGTGTGGACAATCACCAAAGTCCAAGCAGGCTTGAGGTTAATGGGCCACAAATTTCCAGACTTACCTCCTAAATGGGCCAACACCCCCCTGGTTTCTTTTTATTCTTTTATAATTTCCATTTAATTATTTTTACTTTTAATTATTAATTATTATTATTAATATTATTTAATTAACCAAATTAATTATTTTCATCATAAAATCAGAAAACTAAAATATTATTATTTATTAATTTCACCCTTAGTTTATTATTTTTGTAAATAAATACATAATTAATCTATTTAGTTAATTAGAGTTAATTTTAACTTCAATATTTTTGCAATAATTTAAAATCAACATAGAATTAGGGTTTTATTAACTTTTGACTATTTTTTATTTATTTCCTCAAGACATTAAAAACTCAAAAACATTTCTTTTTAATTAATTAATTAGTTTTAGGATTAATATTAATTAAATGCCAAATAACAAAAAAACCCATTCTTTCTCAATAAGGGTCAAAACCCTAAGGACTTTTCCGATTCAATTCTTTCTCGCGCATATTATTTTTGATCATGTAATTGCTCCGAGGATGTAATAGCTTTAATTAGGACCCTTTTTATCGCTTTCTTTAATTTCCCGCATTTACTTTTTCAAGGGTTTGTTTTTGGCGATGTAAATACCCGACGCCTTGTAATAGCATAGATTTACTTTCGGCAACTATTAACTGCTAGATGTATGTTAATTAGGCTATGCATGACAAGACTTCTCTTAAAATAAAATCAATCGTAGCTCACCATAACATGTGCAAAGATAATATAAACTGAAACCTGACACACTCGCACATGCCACTCCTAGGGTACGCCTCACTTGGTTTCCTCGACGTGGTCATCGAGTATAGGGTGTTTTAGAGGTCGCCCTCTTGTCTAAAGATCCAGTTGCCTCGAAACAGTTGCCTCGGATAAAAAGGATCTAGGACATTAGGGTTACCGCTAAGGCGTCCTACTATTGCTTTGGTGACCACATGTCCCTATAATCGAATTGACCCGAAACTCCAACGACGGTGCTACCTACTTCTCAATAGTGGGATAGTACTGTCTAAAAGACATTTACACAACTTAATTTCTTTTGAGTAGGTAGAGGTTCTAAGGTACTTGCTCTTTCAAAAACAAAAAAATACTTTTCGCACTTACACTTTTCTGACAAAAGTTTTCAAACAAACACTTCATACACTCTTGAGGACTGATACAAGAGTCAAAACGAAGTTTTCAAACAAACTTTTTCAAAACCCACAAACACAAGAAAAGCAAAACATCTTTTGAAAACATAGTGAGCAAGTACCTAAGAGCCTGTGGATAACCACAGATAGAAAGGGTGCTAACACCTTCCCTTTCTATAATCTACCTCCCGAACCGAGAAACATCTCGAAAAGGAATTTTGCTGTGCTTTTTTCCTTTCCTTGTTGGAGAACATAAAAGACGGTGGCGACTCTTGCTTACCGCGACATTTCGCGAACCAGCATTCCAAAACAGTCAGTTCTATTTCCACCGATCACAGAACTGGCGACTCTGCTGGGGACATACTTAATAAGTGAGGTGTACCTTAGGATTAGATCATTCTATGTTTTCAATTGTATGCTTTGTATGCTTTAATATTGTGGGCTTGCATCGGAGTTTTATAGATCCTAACCCAGATCTGGGGAATACCCTTTAGGTAAGTAGCAATAAACTGTGAGGGACATGTCCGACGTAGACCGACACGGGTGAAGCAGTAGCTACATTGGTGTGACACCTTGGTCTGTACCGATATCCCTTGTGTTGGAACGAGGAGAATATGGGTCTTCTGAGGAGTCACTAAGCACCAACTGACCTTAGAACCTTAAATTGACCAACTTGGCCATAGAACAGTAGCAGTATGCTACACTCAATGAGGCTAAACTCTCGCGATGGTTCCGACCGCAAGAAAAGGTTGCCAAGCTGGAGTTATAACCGATTGAGGGTAGTCAGTGATATTGAGATCCTCTAGAACCCGGTTACTATTTTTA